CAATTCGTCGTTTCCTTTTCGATTTTCTGAACCTTGGTTTTTTTAATTTTCGATACTCGAATTTTCAGTTATTCAATTCTTCGGTCGTTTAGACTTTTCAATACTTTTACTTTTCGGTTCCCAAATTTTCAGTTTTTCGATTTTTCATTTTTTCGCTGTCTTTTAGTTTTTCGATTTTTAAATTTTTTAATAATCCCATGTTTCGATTTTTCCATTTCTCGATTTCTCAGTTTTTCAATGTTTAAAACTTTTCAATTTCTCAGGCTTTCAACACTTCAACTTTGGGAAATTTTACATTGCTGGATTTTTAAATTTTTCAATACATTTTTAATTTTAGATTTTTCGGTTTGTCGATTTCTCGACTTCTCTACTTTCCAATTTTTCGACCTTTCGATGTTTCGATATCTCGATGTTTCAGTTTTTCAATGTTTTTATTTCTCGGTTTTATGACTTTTCCATTTTTCGAATTTTTTTAATTTCGATTTTTCAATTTTAGAATTTTCATTTTTCGATTCTTGGATATTTAGACTTTTGAATTTACGATTTTTTGTTTCACCAAATTTTCGTTTTTCGAGTTTTGATTTTTTTGAATTTCCGATTTTTCCATTTTTCCGTTCTTCAATTTTTAGGATTCTCAATTTTTTTACTTTTTGGTTTTCGATACTCGAATTTTCAATGTGTCTAATTTTCGATTTTTGATTTTTCGAGTTTTCGATTCTTCAGTCTTTAAAACTTTTCAATTTTTCTACTTTTTTTATTTTTTCATAATCCCATGTTTCGATTTCTCAGCTTTTCAACACTTCAATTTTGGGAATTTTTCCATTGCTGGATTTTAAAATGTTATGTCTCGATGGTTTAATTTTCCGATTTTTCCATTTTTCGAATTTTTTTTATTTCGATTTTCAATTTTAGAATTTCCGATTTTTCCACTTTCGATTTTTTGATTCTTAGATTAAGATATCATTAAATCAATTAAAAAACATTTAAAAAATTCAAATATGGAAGAGCTGAAATGAAAAATCGAGAAATCGAAAAATCTGAAATTTTAAATTAAAAAGTCGACACATCGAAAAATCCAGAAGTCAAAAATGGAAAAGTCGAAGAACAGAAATATTGAAAAATCCCAAAACTGAACTAGTGAAAAACTGAAAAATGAAACAAAAACTGAAAAATCCCAAAACTGAAATATCCAAAAACTGAGAATCCCAAGAATCGAAAAGTGAAGTCGAAATATCGAAACCTTAAAAAAATCGAAAAATTGAACAATCAAAAACCTGCAAAATCGTAAGATCGAAAAATTGAATAACAAGTAAACTGAAAAATGCCAAAACTGAAATGTCCAAAAACTGAGAAATTAAAAAATTGAAAAATTGAGAAATCGAAGAATCAAAAAAGTGAAGTTGAAAAATCGAAACCTGAAAAAATAGAAAAATTGAAAAACCAAAAAACCTGAAAAATCAATTACTTGAAAAATCGACAAATAAAGAGTTTATAAAAGTCAAAAATTGAAAAATCGAAATATTTAAAAATCGAAAAATTGAAAAATCAAAACATTAAAGAATTGAAGAATAGGAAAATTGAAACACTCGAAGGTCAAGAAATGTGAAAATCAAAACATCGAGTAATTGAAAAATTGAAAAATTGACAGTTTATAAAAGTCAAATTTGAAAAATTAAAAAATCGAAAATTTGACAAAATGACAAAATTGAAAAACAGAAAATCTAAAATCGGTAAGTCGAAAAATCAAGAGATTAAGAAATCAGAACATTTGAAAAATTCGAAAACTTGAAAAATTCAAATATCGAAGAATTGAACTGAAAAATCGAGAAATCGAAAAATGTAAAGTTATAAATATTGAAAAATTAAAATATCAACAAACTGAAAAATCTAAAATTGAAAAAACGACAATTGAAAAACAGAAAATCTATAACCGGGAAGTCGGAAAATCGAAAGATTAAGAAATCGAAACATTTGGAAAATTGAAATATGGAAGAGCTGAAATGAAAAATCGAAAAATTAAAAATTTTAAATATTGAAAAATTAAAATACCAAAAAATTGAGAAATCAAAAATTTAAAAATCGAAAAAGTAAAAAGTCGACACATCGAAAAATCCCGAAGGCAAAAATGGAAAAGTCGAAGAACAGAAATACTGAAAAATCCCAAAACCTACAAAATCGTAAGATCGAAAAATTGAATAACAAGTAAACTGAAAAATCCCAAAACTGAAATGTCCAAAAACTGAGAAATTAAAAAACTGAGAAATCGAAGAATCAAAAAAGTGAAGTTGAAAAATCAAAACCTGAAAAATAGAAAAATTGAAAAATCACAAAACTGAAATATCCAAAAAGTGAGAATCGAAAGAATTGAAAAATTGAGAAATCGAAGAATAAAAAAAGTGAAGTTGGAAAATCAAAACCTGAAAAAATAGAAAAATTGAAAAACCAAAAAACCTGAAAAATCAGTTAATTGAAAAATCGACAAATAAAGAGTTTATAAAAGTGAAAAATTGAAAAATCGAAATATTTAAAAATCGAAAAATTGAAGAGAAAAACTGAAAACCGAGAAATTGAAAAACCGAGAAATTGCAAAATTCAAAAATTGAATAATAAATAGGAGTAAACTAAAAATTCCCAAACTAAAATTTCGAAAAACTGAGAATTCGAAAGTTGAAACAGCAAGAAATTATGCTCGAAACGCGTCAAAATAGTTATTTATGTTACAAGTGTTGAAAACAGTCCATTGCATTACGAACGGGAATACGGCGCGAGACGCAGTCGAGCGCTGTATGTAAGTGAGTAATGCAATGGAGTTTTCACACGAGTATCATACAATATTTTTTGCGCTGCCTTTTTGAAAAAATGATATTTTTCAATCGCTAAAAGAATAAATATTATTGAACCGAAATTATGTTGGTATTGAATTTATCACCAAATACGTCAAATACCAAATTGTCAATTTGTCCGGGCTAGATTTTGAATTTCAAAGTTGAAATGGAAATTCCTCCACATATTCAGCAAATTGCTGCTAAAGCAACATCAAATTTGTTGCCTACAAAATCCGCAAGTCGGTATGAGGCAGAATATCACAAATTCATTCAATGGTGCGAAGAAAATGAAATTCGTGAATTTTCGGAAACAACGCTTTTGGCCTATTTCCAAATCAAGTCGGAAATTATGAAAGCTTCCACACTGTGGACAATATATTCAATTTTGAAAACTACTCTTGGCCTCAAAAATAACATAGATCTTTCGAAATTTCATAAATTAACAACGTTTTTAAAACGGCAGAATGACAATTACAAGCCTAAGAAGTCTGAAATACTGACAGAGTCCCAAGTGGAAACATTTTTAAATACAGCTCCAGACGAGAGGTTTTTAATGATTAAGGTACAAACGTAATTTTAACTTTATTTATACATACAGTAATTTACTACAATACAGACATAAAATTTTTAAACAAAGATCTAAAATTAGTATTATGTTGTAGACTGCTCTGATCATTGCAATATCTGGAGCTTGCAGACGGATGGAACTTACAAATCTTCTGACAGATAATGTTACGTTCATGCCGCATCAAATTGTTGTGACATTATGCAACACAAAAAATAAAACTAATCGCACCTTTGTTATAAACAATGAGCAATGGCTGTTGGTAATTCGCAAGTATTACGAATTAAGACCACCAAATACTCCACATCAACGTTTTTTCTTATTTTACGGTAATAACAAATGCTCGCGACAACCAGTGGGAATGAATACGTTTGGCACTATGCCTCGGAAAATTGCTGAATTCCTTCGACTACCCAACCCGCAAAGTTATACAGGCCACTCATTCAGAAGAAGCAGTGCAACATTGTTGGCGGCAAAAGGTGTTGATTTTCTGGGAATTAAACGTATTGGGGGATGGAAATCATCCACTGTAGCAGAAGGCTATATTGAACAGTCCCTCCGCGACAAAATTGCTATAGCTGAGCAGTTAACCACTGGGTCTTCTTCAAGATCATCCCTTGACAACCCTCTACCGTCCACATCAAAGTGTACTTGGGAGCCATCGGTTGAAAACTTAAATGCCGGAGACGTTCATGGACCTTCTACTTCGACTGCGTCGATGAATGTTCAAAACAAGAATTCATCTCTTGCATTCAAAGATGTACAGGGAAATTTCACGTTCGCGAACTGCAATAATTTTACCATTAATTTTATTAATAACAATAAGTAAGTTGTTACCTCCAGATGTTTAGTTTCTTTTTTCTTGTTATACAATTCAATAAATAGTACGTTTTTTCGCAATCTTGTGATTATCATCAGCCTGAGGTCGCGAATAGTGTGAATAACGTCAAGTTTAAACGGTTTTTTTAATAAGCAAGAACTACTAACAAACACTAATAACATAATGCTGTCAACAACGTAAACCATCTAGTAGTGTCAACTGTCAAATTACTACCAATCCAAAATTTGAACAAATTCCCCTATTTAAGATTACAACTTAAATTGCGCTTTTTTAAAATTTCGAGCCACTTTTTGTTATAATAACTTTAGATACATGATTATCAATTAGTCGTAATTACTTTGTGATAATCAATTTATTTTTTCAAAGCTTAAATTCCTCGTTTGTATTTTGCGGCGCTAGATCCTTTTTCATTGCCATTACGACACGCCACGTGTCAACGTAAAATGTCAATTACAACTATGGCAGCGCAAAAAAGATATTATGACATTTTTTTCTACAGTTAAATCCATAAGGTTGTAACCACTCGTTAAATTGTAAGGTTGGCATTACAGCCAATGGTGTTTTTCACATGAACAGATTGGTAGCGGCGCATATGTCAAAATTTGACAATTACGCACGAGAGAGTTTTATTTAAATATCTCACAGTTTGTTATTAAACCATACCATTGAAAAATGGTACCGACACGGCATATTGTGGTAAATAAGCAGATGAAAATGGCACTTGCCAACTGCCACAATGAATTGAAACTTGCTTATCCCCATCCTCCCGAGAACTTGAATTCAAGCTTGTAAAAATCTTTTCAGTATGTAGTTATTCTTATACCATGGAAAGAGAGTACTATACTATGAGAGTAACGTATCGACATTCGGAACTTTTTTCATGTTATTACAACATGGTGGTATGTCGAACGACTTTTAGTTTTAACTATCTCAAGTTGAAAGTGTATATCTCGCTTTTTAGTACAACATTGTCTTTTCAAGTTTTATACCCACTCTTTATATCCTACACAATACAACTAAATGTCCCTCATTAAATTCAAGCACTGCATACTTTCCCTGTAAACTTATCATTAATTCCTATCCTTTCCATAGTGTTCTCGATGTCAAGCCCACAAAATTATAACCCAACACCAATCTGGAGAACCGTTACAAGAAGCAAAGTGGAAACCAAAACAAAAATCGCAGTGGTATTCAAATTTGGAATTTAAAGAAGATCTAACCTACCGTATATTTGACAAAAACAAAAAAAAATGAGTTTTTTACTCTTCAGGATTTGTTTATTTTTGCGAAAGAACATCCAGAATATACAGCAAGTTTAAATACTTTACGTTGAGTATTAAAATCCATGGGATTCAGATTTAAGAAAGTTAACAACAGAAAAATAATTGCTTTTTGGTTATTTGGTCTATGTGTTCCCAATGTTTCTAACCACTCCTGTAACAGTAAGTTTAAATAAGCCGTCAAATTATTTTCAACATACCTATTATTTTAGCCTCTGAATTTTGTGAAGTTACATTTTGTTCATTATTACCACTAAAATCGTCAGGACGGAGGAGCATAGCCAGACCTATCGCCTTCAACCAAATCCCTTGTACATTTTGTAAATAATAAGTAGTACCAAATATTAGAGTTATTAAACATAACATTAAAGACTTGTTGGTGTCCCATTTTTTTGATGAAAAATTGGTCATCCATTGCAACTAATTAAGGTGATCTACCCATTATAGACAATTTTGGTGTTGCTCGCGAGATTGATCATTTCAGTCGAGAGAGCTGATCCTTCGAGTCATAGTTAGCCACACATATAATTATCACGTATACTCATGTACAATAATTTAAACAAATTCTGAATATCTCAGTTATTCCCCATCTGTAAAGTAATTTTTATGAAGCAGCAACAATAAATAAATCAATTCACCTTGTTTTTTTACCAGCCCAATATTTGATTTCATTCGTGACCACAATATTTTTGGGTTCATTTTATCGTAATTCGTAAACGTATCGACTGCAAGTCTAAATTACAGCAGGTGGCATTCTTTCTACAGATGAAAGATAAAACACGTTTCTATTTATCGTTGCTCTTGTATTATAATTACCATGAAGACTCAGGTTATCCTGTTTTTATTGAAAATTGTTTATCAGTTTTTACAATATTGCGACAAGTTACAATGATAATTATGAAATAACCTGTGCAGGAGTGCAAGAATTGCAGTGAAGTCGAACGTAATCATGTGTCGCGAATACATGAATGAACTGACATTATATTGACAGGTCACCAAATATGTCACCAGGTTATTAAAAGACAGATTTACACTGAATAATTTTTAAAAATTTACACTAGGGAGTGGTTACAACCTTATGGATTTGAGTTTAGTTAATTTTATTCCTAGTTAGAAACAAACACTGTTGCCAATATAAATCGAGGAGTCCTCAACCGTCATTTAATTTAAACTATGACGCTTCTCTACGTTCTCTGCTTTTAGTAACTTTCTAGGGACTTTTCTATTTATTGATTGACAATTGACATATAGGTTATAATTTTGAAAATGGATCAGAACGACTCCGAATTTTCGAAAAACTACCAAAAATCGCTCTTTACCGACAACGCAGAAACCGCAAGTCAGCGTGCTGGTATCCAACGAAAATGCCTAACCCAAATGTACAACTTTTCATTATCCAAGTAAGTACAAAATTATCCACAAACACATCTGACCACAACTTTTAGACTAGACGACGCCAGCAGCTGCCACCTCCTCGAAAAAAACCTTCACAAATACTACGCCACCCTCGACGAAGACCCCACAAAAAGCACCTTCTTGTATAACGACAAAATCAAGACAATCCTCGAAAAACACAACATCCGGACACCCGTCCCTCTGAAAACTAACATCGAAAACGTCGACCTTAAATCCATGCTCAAGCGATTACCGTGCTATCAAAGCAGCGACTTCACCTGCACGACAACAGAAGCCGCCTTGAAGACAGATTTCGACACTTTTGTTGACGCTTTCAAGAAAAAGAAACCAGAAAGAGCTGTTAATCAACCACGAAAAGTATGTGAGCTAAAGCCACTATCGCGTTCAAACTCAGACGACAGCCCCCAAACCGCGTCTTTCAAGACCGCCAGAGACGAACTCCAAGCACAAAACGCCAAGAAAAACGCTGGCACGAAACGCAAACTCGGAATCCGTAGAAACGTCAACAGTAAATTCGTGCCCCCTTTACTATCCAACAGCAGTGAAGAGGCTTCAAAAAGCGAAGAATGGCCCGCGGAAGTCGACGATCGTTTAAAAAACATTGACCCAAAAATGGTCGAGTTGATAAAATCGGAGATCATGGACGTGGGGGCGACGATTGAGTGGAACGACATTGCTGGATTGGAATTCGCGAAAAGCGCGATTCAGGAGGCTGTGGTGTGGCCTATGCTGCGACCTGACATTTTCACGGGGTTGCGCCGCCCCCCGAAAGGCATTCTGTTGTTTGGGCCCCCAGGAACCGGGAAAACTCTAATCGGGAAATGCGTGGCGTCCCAAAGCAAGTCCACCTTTTTCAGTATTAGTGCATCTTCGTTGACTTCCAAATGGGTCGGTGATGGGGAGAAAATGGTGCGGGCTTTGTTTGCAGTGGCCAGGTGTCACCAACCGGCGGTTATTTTCATCGATGAGATTGATTCTTTGTTGTGTCAGCGGAGCGAAAGCGAACATGAGAGTTCGAGGAGGATTAAAACCGAGTTTTTGGTGCAGCTGGATGGGGCTACCACTGACAGCGAAGAGCGGCTGTTATTAATTGGGGCCACGAATAGGCCGCAGGAGTTGGATGAAGCCGCTAGAAGGAGGTTTGTGAAAAGGCTCTACATACCTTTGCCGGATTTTGAAGCTCGATTTCAACTAGTCAGTCGATTGATAGTTAAAGAGAGACACGATTTAAACACTGAGGATTTGAAAAGGGTCGCGGAGTTGTCTGACGGGTATTCCGGGGCTGATATTCGCTGTTTGTGTTCGGAAGCGGCTTTAGGCCCCATCAGGTCGATCCACATGAGTATGATCGAAAAGATTCAAGCTGACGAGGTACCGTTTATTACAATTTAAACAAAATGGGGTTTAATAAGGTGATTGTAGGTCCGAGCGCTCAGTATGGACGATTTTCACAAAGCTTTCATGAGGGTAAGGTCGAGCGTCGCTCCTAAGGATTTAGAACAGTACCTGGTATGGGATAAGACTTACGGTTCAGGTTTATAAATGAACGTTTTCTTGTCCTTCTTCTAATTTATTATTGCTGAAATAAAAATGTTGAACGAAAGTCTATATTTACTAAGTAGGTAACAGGAACAACTAAATTACTTCTTGCTTTTTTTGGGTCTTAGTGCGAAGTACGCTATTAGGAGTCCGACGGAGGCGTAAGTGGCCATGGCGACCTGCAACATTTCGATAAATCGATAACTGAAAATTTTAACATAACCTCGCTTTATTGACATTTTGAATTTCATAGCCACCTGCGACCATCGCGCGACTGACTAAAAATGGTCATTTTTGGCCACTTTTCCAAAACTTTGGTTGATTTAAACTGTGCAACCGTTGTGCAAGGTATTGGCGGGGTCCGCATTTACAAGTTGACCGATAAACGACAACCTTCACGTAATTTTCCGAAATTTGAGGTTATGTTGCAAACGAGAGTAAAAACTCGTCAAATGGGCGTTAATTCTTCCGAAATAACGCTAAATTACGCAAAGCACCCCTATTATGCAACAAACTTACGTTCGCCCTTCCTCTAGTGGTCTGCGCGTTGAAAATCTTGGACAACCCCGAAAGTTTCGCTTCTTCTGCTGCCTCGCTTCCCCCGGCCATTGTCTAAACAAACAACCCCATTTTACCCTTATTATCACACATAAGCCGAAAATACTCACAATTTTACTGATTTAAATTCTTGAAGATATTTCTTTCCACACTAGAATTTGCCGATGACTGCTGTGGTTGGCTGTGACTGCGCGTACGTCTCTGTCGCACTCGCAGCGAGTTTCGCGTAGTCAAAAAGAGACAGAAAACGGGAGGGATGTTTATTCGTTCGTCTAGTTACATAAGTGCAGTATTGCCAATACAAGAATTTCGGTTATGGCGGGACCCTTGAATTACTTTTGATCACAGTTGCATTTGCAGAGTTTCTGGAAGAGAAACGCGCCACCGAGGAAAGCGAACGTGGCTTTGGCTACCTGAAAGAGTCGTTAATAGGGTGAAACAACAGACTTTGACTTACATTTGCGCGTCCGCGGATTGTTTTGCTGTTGAAATAGCGCGAAATGCCTTTTAATGAAGGGTCATCATATGGTTCTAAGTCATTCGCCATAACTTTGACAAGGTTCGGAGATGACGGGAGTCATAGATTACTACATTTTCTAAACTATGTTTGTGTAAACTGGGGGACAAAGGAGTGGTGTTCGGTGTTTCGTGGGTACATGGGACGCCAAAGGTATGGAACTGACTGTTGACAATAAAGGTGTTATACCGTACATATTTATTAAACAATTACGTTTAAATGGAGTAAGAACTGCAACTAAATATCGACTAGACAGCTAAACTACAAACTAAAGTGAGCTTAAACGTAATACACGTCGAAATGATCTGCTGGAGCTAAAACAGTAGCAAACACGGTGGCCCTTAGCAAATATACAGCTTGTCTGATACATCCATTGTAAAATAGTGTAAAAAGTTAACTTTATGAATTGACCATCTTATTTAGAAAGTATCAACATTAGCCTAATTTAAAATCAGTCATTACTCAAGGAATGTACTCCTACTAAAAACAGAACATCACGAGATCCCTCTGAGACAGTTTCAAATGCAAGCCAAAGCTCTGAGTGTATTTATCGTTATAAAATAATAGGAACACATAAAACTAAGCATTATTTCTTTCAGAAAAAAAAAAACAACTCCTAAACACTCACTAAATAATTTATGACAACTTAGACTAAACAAGTCATAAAAATAACAGTGGACGGGTCCGTAGATATTAGTTACTGCTGTCCATCTCCGGATCGCTTTCAGCGTCCGAACTGGAACTGACGGCGAGATCCCCCGCCATGGCGACCCTGGCGTATTCGTCTTTGTCGATCGACTTACAGAAGTGAATGGCGTACTTCAATTTTTGTTGCAAAACGTGCTAAAACCCACACTTAGTACGTTAACTCTGATCGAACCCGACTTACCTTGCACGAGTATCGAGGCATTTTAAGCAAGAAAAAGCAGGTGTAGCTTTCCGGTAAGAAATGATCCGGCGGATTATACTTGTCTAAGATTTGTATAACGAAATCTCGGCCTCGGAAGTCGGCTATGGTTCGCGGTAATCGCGTCCTGCCCCACACGAAGCGCAGGAACAGGGAGCGCTCCTGATTGGTGAACTCCTCCATTACTTCCCAGAACCACTGGATGAGGGGGGCGCTGCTGTCGACGCCTTTGTACGTTGCTACGGATTTTAGGAGGTTGAGGGGGATGTCGGGGGAGCCGCAGACCATCGTTTCGAGCTCGTAGCCGCTGAAGAGGGAGAGGAGGGGCACGGGGACCACCTTGGACATGCCGTCGCGGACGGCTTTGACTTGTTCGTCGAATTCATGCAATCTAAAAAAACAATTCATCAGCGACATCTGTGATATCAGCGCAAACTACGCAATATTCACGAGTTATATAAAGGGGACGCCGAATTACGTTTTCATTATTCCATTTTTTGCTTTGCTAGTTCTCCGATTTTGCAATTTTTTGAGTTTTAAACGTTCAGTATTTTTAATTTTTCAATTCGTGCTTTTTTATTTTTCAGTAAAAGAACAAATTTATCCCAACTAAAATATTGGAAAATCGGAAAATTGTATCACTGAAACAATGAAGAATACGAAACTTTTAAAATTAAAAATGCAAAAATTTCAAAATGAAAATTGAAAAACTAAAAAATCGAGACACCGAAAAATTGAAAAAATCAACAAAAAGAAACAATTTTGAAGTTTTTCAATATAAAATTCTTCAAATTCTCAATTTTTAATTCTTTATTTTCTCGATTTTTCGTTATTTAATTGTTCAACAAAAGGACAATTTTATTCAAACCGAAATTTTGAAAAATTCAAAAATTTAAAAACCAGAAAATTGTATCATTGAAGCGTCTAAAAATGATTGAAAATTGAAGAATCAAAAAAATTTAAAAATTGAGAAGTCGAAGAACTGAAAAATAAAGAAACATTGAAAAAAAAAAAACGAAAAAATGAGAATCAAAAATTGAAAAATGAATGTTGAAAATGAAAAAAAATGAGAAATTAAACAAGTAGATAATTGAAAAAACAATTGAAAAATTGACAAAACGAAAAACAAAAATAGTATTCTCTTTTACTATTTCTTAATTCATAGTTAGATTTTGATTTTTTTTTGTATTTTTGATTGTTTAATTTATAGAAACATGGAAAAATTGAAAAATTGTAACATCGAAAAGACGAAACACTGAAAAACCGAAAAAAAAAACCGGAGAAATCGAAGATTTGAAAAAATAGAGAAAATGAAAAATCTGATAATTGAAAAGCCAAGAATTGTACACTTGAAAAAAAAAAAAAACGTAAAATTGAAAGCTGAAAAGGTTATGAATTAAAAATTGAGAAATGAAAAATCGAAAAAACGAAAAATTGGAAAAATTTGACCGAAAAATAAAAATCATAATGAAAATCGCAAAATTAACAATTAAAAAAACCAAAAATTAAAAAATCTCTAATTGAGAAAATAAAAAATCGAAGAAACAAAATAATTTGGAAGTATATACTTTATTTTTAATTTTTCAACAAAAGGATAAACTTATTAAAATTGAAATTTTAAAGAACCGTAAAATTGTAACACTGAAACATCGAAAAATTGAAAAATCAAAAAATTAAAAATTGAAAAACTAAAGAAACTCAAAATCGAACAATAAAGAGGTCAACAATTGGAAAAGCAAAAATTGTAACCTTAAAACTTGAGGAACTGAAAAAACAACTGAATATTTGAAAAATTGAAAAAAAGACACTCTAAAATCGAAAAACTGATTAATTAAAAATCCAGAAATAGAAAAATACGGAAACAAAATTTTCTAGAAATCGAAAAATCGACAAATTCTAAAATTCAAAAGTTGAAGAATCGAAAAATTAAAATATCTAGACACTAAAAAATCGAGAAATACAAAACATTTAAACTGAAAAATCCAAAAATGTCAAAATAACCATCGAAAAACTGTAAAATTAAAAAATCGAAAACTGAAAAATTAAAAAATCGGATAACGAAAAAATCAACAATTAAAAATTTAAAAATCTCGAACTGAAAAATAAAAAATCCAAGAAACAAAATAATTTGGAAGTACTTTATTTATAATTTTTCATTTTCTCAATTTTTCGTTTTTTCATTTCTCAACAAAAGGACAAACTTATTAAAAGTGAAATTTTAAAAATTTAAAAAATCGTAAAATTGTAACACTGAAACATCGAAAAATTGTAAAACTGAAAAATTGAAAAATCAAAAAATAAAAATATCTTAAAATGGAAAAATCGAAAAAACGAGAAACTGTCAAATGTGAAAATTATAACATTGAAACCTGAAAAAACTGACGAAATAAAAATCGAGAAAATGAAAGATCCACAAAACTAAGCAATTCTGCAATTTTTCGATATAAAATTTTTCAAATTTTCGATTTTTATTTCGTCATTTTCTCAATTTGTCACTTTTTAATTGTTCAACAAAAGGACAAATTTATTCAAACCGAAATTTTCAATTAAATTGAAAACTCAAAAAATTGAGAAATCGAAGAATTGAAAAAATAAAGAAAACTTGAAAAAACCGAAAAAATGAGACTTAAAAACTGAAAAATGAAACTTGAAATAACGAAATTTAAAAATCGAAAAATGAAAAAAATTGAGAAATTGAAAAAACAATTGAAAAATCGAAAAAAACGAAAAACAAAAATTTCTATAAATTAAATAATCAAAAATACAAAGATTTTAAAATGAAACTTGAAATATCGACAAAACGAAACAATTCTGCAATTTTTCGATATAAAATTTTTCAAATTCTGGATTTTTATTTCTTCATTTTCTCGATTTGTCATTTTTTAATTATTCAACAAAAGGACAAATTTATTCAAACCGAAATTTTGAATTGAATCGAAAACGCAAAAAACTGAGAAATCGAAGAATCGAAAAAATAAAGAAAACTTGAAAAAACCGAAAAAATGAGATTTAAAAACTGAAAAATGAAACTTGAAATATCGAAATTTAAAAATTGAGAAATCGAAAAAAACGAAAAACAAAAATCTCTATAAATTAAATAATCAAAAATGCAAGGATTTTAAAATGAAACTTGAAATATTGAAAAATTGAAAAATCGAAAAATTGTAATATTGAAACCTGAAAACCCTGATTAATTAAAAATGGAGAAATTGAAAAATCGATAAAACGAAGCAATTATGCAATTTTTCCATATAAAAATTTTTCAAATTCTGGATTTTTGTTTCTTCATTTTCTCGATTTGTCATTTTTTAATTGTTCAACGACAGGACAAATTTATTAATATAATCGAAATTTTGATTTAAATTGAAACTTCAAAAAACTGAGAAATCGAAGAATTGAAAAAATAAAGAAAACCTGAAAAAACCGAAAAAATGAGACTCAAAAACTGAAAAATGAAACTTGAAATATCGAAATTTAAAAACTGAAAAATCGAAAAATGAAAAAATTGAGAAATGAGAAATTGAACAATGGGATAATTGAGAAAACAATTGAAAAATCGAAAAAAACGAAAAACAAAAATTTCTATAAATTAAATAATCAAAAATACAAAGATTTTAAAATGAAACTTGAAACTTGACAAAACGAAGCAATTCTGCAATTTTTCGATATAAAAATTTTCAAATTCTGGATTTTTATTTCTTCATTTTCTCGATTTGTCATTTTTTAATTGTTCAACAAAAGTACAAATTTATTCAAACCGAAATTTTGAATTGAATTGAAAACTCACAAAAACTGAGAAATCGAAGATTGAAAAAATAAAGAAAACTTGAAAAACCGAAAAAATGAGACTTAAACTGAAAAATGAAACTTGAAATATCGAAATTTAAAAATTGAAAAATCGAAAAAAACGGAAAACAAAAATTTCTATAAATTAAATAATCAAAGATACACAGATTTTAAAATGAAACTTGAAATATCGAAAAATTGAAAAATCGAAAAATTGTAATATTGAAACCTGAAAACCCTGATTAATTAAAAATCGAGAAATTGAAAAATCGACAAAACGAAGCAATTCTGCAATTTTTCGATATAAAATTTTTCAAATTTTGGATTTTTAAATTTTTATTTCTTCATTTTCTCGATTTGTCATTTTTTAATTTTTCAACAAAAGGACAAATTTACTCAAACCGAAATTTTGAATTGAATCCAAAACTCAAAAAACTGAGAAATCGAAAATTGAAACAATAAAGAAAACTTGAAAAAACCGAAAAAATGAGACTTAAAAACTGAAAAATGAAACTTGAAGTATCGAATTTTTTTTATTATAGAATTAGCGTTAAGCTGTCAGTCGAAATAAAAAAATAACAACAATGCCATTATTGATTTTAAACCCTCTCTGATACTGAATTACACATTAAAAAAATATCTATGAATTTGTGACATCTGATTAACGTTAGATTAAATTGTTAAGATAAGTAAGACATGAGGCACAAAAAGGGGGAAACCAGTTTTCACATATAAATCACTCAATGAAAAAATATAAAATTAAATTATTGAGTTAATTAATTAACCAAAATTACGCGAAACTAAGTAATCAAGTGAATTTAAAACAGTTTAAATCCGTTATTAAATACGCAATCACAGTACTAAATTCCTTTCCATCTTTCCCGAGATAAGTATTGGGGATTTTGTATTGTTATGATTAGATCAGATCCTCTCTATCTACTCCTAGCATAACAAATAAACGATGTGTTTGTGGCGAAAAATAACTTTATTTTTTCTTATGTTGTATAGAACGATATTCGAGTCATGTAAGTACCCCTTAATTATTTCTAGTCTGCTCCAACACGTCCAGGTTACTATATTTGTTATAACCTGAATGTCCCTTACAGTAAGGCAAATGTGGATAAGGGTGACCACACGCCCATACCGGATGCTTTATATTATACGGGATTTAAAAATGGTTGGATTTTGCTTCGCCGTAATTATTGTAATAGGGGGAATAGTTGTTTATCAAAGTGAAATATGGACAAGGTTGAATGAGCTGAAAAACGGATAAACCAGAAGTGTGTATGATATCTGGGACTTCGAATATTAGAATATTTTAAAAGTTTTTTTTTAAACGTCTTTATTTTTTATAAACATTACATTTACCTAGTAGTGTCAACCAAAAAAAAAAAAAAAACCTGATATGACGTCATCTTAATGTACGTAAAGAACCTTTCACACTTCATACCAGATAAGATTAGTGACAAAAAGCAAAAACAATATCAATCAAAGATTAATAAAACGATCGCACCCACAACGTCTTCAAGTTTATTAATTCCTTTGTTCGAGTATTGAAAAATTCATTGCAAGATGGCTCCCAACGAGATCAAAAAAGCCATGAAAACAGGAGGTAAGCGGTAGTTATCACAATTTAACCGCTAAAATAAATGTGCCTATATTTCAGTGAAGCAATTTTTCAAGAAAACAAAAAAACAAATGCGACAAGATGGCGGTGATATTTCGAAGATTATACTGATTCTTTCTTTCGTGTTAGTGCCCGCTTTGATTTGTTTTTTAAAGGGTTTTACCGAAATTATCAAGGTGGAATCCAACCGCATGATGTCCGATTGCATGGAACAGGACTCTTGTACCTATCGTCCCTGGGTACCTAACAGGGTTCGGAAATCGCTGGTTCGAGTTTTTGAATATGGTTGAAAAAACAGTAATAATGATGTCTTCATATTGTAATTGTGATGTTTATTATAGCTTTTTAAAATTATATAAATATACCAATGTTAAAAAAACACTTAATATGACCAATATATATTATTTTAAAGTTATACTGTTTTTTTGTGCCTGTAATGTATATACCACATAGATTGCACAATTTTTGCAACAATAAAATAATCTTGGATTATTATCTTCCAACCGACGTTAGAGATAGAGATAGGACACAAGGATGCAACATTCCTGATATTTCATCATCTTTGTAATTATTAATTTAACTACATAACATGTAGTCAATTTAAAAAAAGAACGCCTGTTAAAAATTTGAAAATTTAATATCATCTTAAAAATTGTCATTTTTAAGTTCATCTATTCTGGAAAAATTGTTGAAATTTTTGAAGAAATGAAGCCGAAATTAACTTCTACAAGTCGAAGTCTTCAAGAAAATGTCTGTCGGTTATTTTGGAAGGGTGCTCGAATAACTAAAAAATTCATATTAAAAAATTGAGATTTTTGAAATTGCCTAAAAATCATCAAAAAAATTCATTCCGACGAGCTGATTCGACAAACATAACGTTTTGACAACCGAGGACCAAAATTTTCGAAAAAATAGGTAAAATTCGGTCCGAAAATAAAGTTTTTTAAAGATCTCGAAAATTTTCATTTCTTGTTTTATCGATTCGACAAAAATTGTTGGAATTTTTGAGGAAATAAAGCCGAAATTTATTTTTACAAGTCGAAGTCTTCAAGAAAATGTCCTTCGGTAATTTTGGAAGGGTGTTCGAAAAATGGTCAAAAATTCATATCGAAAAATTGAGATTTTTGAAAAGTTGCCTAAAAATCATCAAAAAACTCAGGAAAATTCATTTGAACGAGCTGATTCGACAAGCATAACGTGTTGATGGCCCAGTACCAAGATTTTCGAAAAAATCGGTAAAATTCGTTTGAAAATGAATTTTTTTAAAGATCTTGAAAATTTTCATTTCTTATTTTATCGATTCTGGAAAAATTGTTGGAATTTTTCAAGAAATAAAGCCGAAATGAACTTCTACAGGTCAAAGTCTTCCAGAAAATGTCTTTCGGTAATTTTGGAAGGGTGCTCGAAAACTGTAAAAAATTCATATTGAAAAATTGAGATTGTTGAAGTTGCCTAAAAATCATCAAAAAAATTCATTCCGACGAGCTGATTCGACAAACATAACGTTTTGACAACCGAGGACCAAAATTTTCGAAAAAATAGACAAAATTCGGTCTGAAAATAATGTTTTTTAAAGATCTCGAAAATTTTTATTTCTTGTTTTCACGATCCTACAAAAATTGTTGGAATTTTTGAGGAAATGAAGCCGAAATTAATTTCTACAAGTCGAAGTCTTCAAGAAAATGTCCTTCGGTAATTTTGGAAGGGTGTTCGAAAAATTGTCAAAAATTCATATTGAAAAATTGAGATTTTTGAAAAGTTGCCTAAAAATCGTCAAAAAATTCAGGAAAGTTCATTTGAACGAGCTGATTCGACAAGCATAACGTGTTGATGGCCCAGTACCAAGATTTTCGAAAAAATCGGTAAAATAAGTTTGAAAATGAATTTTTTTAAAGATCTTGAAAATTTTCATTTCTTATTTTATCGATTCTGGAAAAATTGTTGGAATTTTTCAAGAAATGAAGCCGAAATGAACTTCTACAGGTCAAAGTCTTCCAGAAAATGTCTTTCGGTAATTTTGGAAGGGTGCTCGAAAAACTGTAAAAAATTCATCTTGAAAAACTGAGATTTTTGAAGTTGCCTAAAAATAATCAAAAAAATTCATTTCGACGAGCTGATTCGACAAACATAACGTTTTGACAACCGAGGACCAAAATTTTCGAAAAAATAGACAAAATTCGGTCTGAAAATAATGTTTTTTAAAGATCTCGAAAATTTTCATTTTTTATTTTATCGATTCTACGAAAATTGTTGGAATTTTTGAGGAAATGAAGCCGAAATTAATTTCTACAAGTCGAAGTCTTCAAGAAAATGTCTTTGGGTAATTTTGGAAGGGTGTTCGAAAAATTGTCAAAAATTCATATTGAAAAATTGAGATTTTTTAAAAGTTGCCTAAAAATCGTAAAAAAATTCAGGAAAATTCATTTGAACGAGCTGATTCGACAAGCATAACGTGTTGATGGCCCAGTACTAAGATTTTCGAAAAAAATCGGTAAAATTCGTTTGAAAATGAATTTTTTTAAAGATCTTGAAAAGTTTTCATTTCTTATTTTATCGATTCTGGAAAAATTGTTGGAATTTTTCAAGAAATAAAGCCGAAATTAACTTCTACAGGTCAAAGTCTTCCAGAAAATGTCTCTCAGTAATTTTGGACGGGTGCTCGAAAAACTGTAAAAAATTCATATTGAAAAATTGAGATTTTTGAAGTTGCCTAAAAATCATCAAAAAAATTCATTCCGACGAGCTGATTCGACAAACATAACGTTTTGACAACCGAGGACCAAAATTTTCGAAAAATAGACAAAATTCGGTCTGAAAATAATGTCTTTTAAAGATCTCGAAAATTTTCATTTCTTCTTTTATCGATTCTACGAAAATTGTTGGAATTTTTGAGAAAATGAAGCCGAAATTAATTTCTACAAGTCGAAGTCTTCAAGAAAATGTCTTTGGGTAATTTTGGAAGGGTGTTCGAAAAATTGTCAAAAATTCATATTGAAAAATTGATATGTTTGAAAAGTTGGCTAAAAATCGTCAAAAAATTCAGGAAAATTCATTTGAATGAGCTGATTCGACAAGCATAACGTGTTGATGGCCCAGTACCAAGATTTTCGAAAAAATCGGCAAAATTCGTTTGAAAATGGATTTTTTTAAAGATCTTGAAAATTTTCATTTCTTATTTTATCGATTCTGGAAAAATTGTTGGAATTTTTCAAGAAATAAAGATGAAATTAACTTCTACAGGTCAAAGTCTTCCAGAAAATGTTTTTTGGGGAATTTTGGAAGGGTGCTCGAAAAACTGTAAAAAACTCATATTGAAAAATTGAGATTTTTCAAGTTGCCTAGAAATCATCAAAAAAATTCATTTCGACGAGCTGATTCGATAAACATAACGTTTTGACAACCGAGGACCAAAATTTTCGAAAAAATAGGTAAAATTCGGTCCGAAAATAAAGTTTTTTAAAGATCTCGAAAATTTTCATTTCTTGTTTTATCGATTCGACAAAAATTGTTGGAATTTTTGAGGAAATGAAGCCGAAATTAATTTCTACAAGTCGAAGTCTTCAAGAAAATGTCCTTCGGTAATTTTGGAAAGGTGTTCGAAAAATGGTCAAAAATTCAAATCGAAAAATTGTGATTTTTGAAAAGTTGCCTAAAAATCATCAAAAAACTCAGGAAAATTCATTTGAACGAGCTGATTCGACAAGCATAACGTGTTGATGGCCCAGTACCAAGATTTTCGAAAAAATCGGTAAAATTCGTTTGAAAATGAATTTTTTTAAAGATCTTGAAAATTTTCATTTCTTATTTTATCGATTCTGGAAAAATTGTTGGAATTTTTCAAGAAATGAAGCCGAAATGAACTTCTACAGGTCAAAGTCTTCCAGAAAATGTCTTTCGGTAATTTTGGAAGGGTGCTCGAAAAACTGTAAAAAACTCATATTGAAAAATTGAGATTTTTAAAGTGGCCTAAAAATCATCAAAAAAATTCATTTCGACGAGCTGATTCGATAAACATAACATGTTAATGTCCCAGTACCAGAATTTTCGAAAAAATCGGTAAAATTCGGTTTGAAAATGAAATTTTTTAACTATCTCTAAAATTGTCAATTGTTTTTTGATCGATTCTAGAAAAATGGTTGAAATTTTCGAAGACTGAAACCGAAAATAACTTCTAGAAATCGAAATCCACAAAAAATATATTTTTTGGTAATTTTTGAAGGGTGCTGGAAAAATGGTCAAAAACATTGAAAGATTAAGATTTTTGAAAAGTTGCCAAACTCCCAAAAAAATCTGAGAAATACACTTCGACGAGCTGATTCCAAAAAACATAATTTGTTGACTAAGATTTTCGAAAATATCGGTAAAATTCCGCTTGAAATTTTTTTTAGTATTTCGAAAATTGTCTTTTCTATTTTATCGATTCTTGAAAAATTGTTGAAATTTTTGAAGAAATGAAGCCGTAATTAACTTCTACAAGTCGAAGTCTTCAAGAAAATGTCTTTCGGTAATTTTGGAAGGGTGTTCGAAAAATTGTAAAAATTCATTTTGAAAAATAGAGATTTTTCAAAAGTTACCTAAAAATCGTCAAAAAAAAAAAATAATAGAGCAATGCATTTCGACGAGCTGATTCGACAAGCATAACATGTTAATGACCCAGTACCAAAATTTTCGAAAAAATCAGTAAAATTCGGTTTGAAAATGAAATTTTTTAACCATCTCTAAAATTGTAAATTGTTATTTTATCGATTCTAGAAAAATGGTTGGAATTTTCGAAGACTCAAACCGAAAATAACTTCTAGAAATTGAAATCTACAAAAAATATATTTTTTGGTAATTTTTGAAGGGTGCTGGAAAAATGGTCAATAATATTGAAAAATTAATATTTTTGAAAAGTTGCCAGTCTCAAAAAAATCTGAGAAATACACTTCGACGAGCTGATTCCAAAAAACATAATTTGTTGATGGGCTAGGACTAAGATTTTCGAAAATATCGGTAAAATTCCGTATGAAATTTTTTTTTTTAATATTTCGAAAATTGTCTTTCCTATTTTATCGATTCTTGAAAAATTGTTGAGATTTTTGAAGAAATGAAGCCGAAATTAACTTCTACAAGTCGAAGTCTTCAAGAAAATGTCTTTGGATAATTTTGGAAGGGTGTTCGAAAAATTGTAAAAATTCATATTGAAAAATAGAGATTTTTCAAAAGTTGCCTGAAAATAGTCAAAAAAATTAGAGCAATTCATTTCGACGAGCTGATTCGACAAGCATAACATGTTAATGACCCAGTACCAAAATTTTCGAAAAAATCGGTAAAATTCGGTTTGAAAATGAAATTTTTTAACCATCTCTAAAATTGTAAATTGTTATTTTATCGATTCTAGAAAAATGGTTGGAATTTTCGAAGACTCAAACCGAAAATAACTTCTAGAAATCGAAATCTACAAAAAAATATATTTTTTGGTAATTTTCGAAGGGTGCTGGAAAAATGGTCAAAAATATTGAAAGATTAAGATTTTTGAAAAGTTGCCAAAGTCTCAAAAAATCTGAGAAATATATTTCGCCGAGCTGATTCCAAAAAACATAATTTGTTGATGGGCTAGGACTAAGATTTCCGATAATATCGGTAAAATTCCGTTTGAAAACGATTTTTTTTTAATATTTCGAAAATTGTCTTTTTTATTTTATCGATTCTTGAAAAATTATTGAAATTTTTGAAGAAATGAAGCCGAAATTAACTTCTACAAGTCGAAGTCTTCAAGAAAATGTCTTTCGGTAATTTTGGAAGGGTGTTCGAAAAATTGTAAAAATTCATACTGAAAAATTGAGATTTTTGAAAAGTTGCCTAAAAATCGTCAAAAAAAAAAATTAGAGCAATTCATTTCGACGAGCTGATTCGACAAGCATAACATGTTAATGACCCAGTACCAAAATTTTCGAAAAAATCGGTAAAATTCGGTTTGAAAATGAAATTTTTTAACTATCTCTAAAATTGTAAATTGTTATTTTATCGATTCTAGAAAAATTGTTGGAATTTTCGAAGACTCAAACCGAAAATAACTTCTAGCAATCGAAATCTGCAAAAAATATATTTTTTGGTAATTTTTGAAGGGTGCTGGAAAAATGGTCAAAAATATTGAAAGATTAATATTTTTGAAAAGTTGCCAGTCTCAAAAAAATCTGAAAAATACATTTCGACGACCTGATTCCAAAAAACATAATTTGTTGATGGGCTAGGACTAAGATTTTCGAAAATATCGGTAAAATTCCGTTTGAAATTTTTTTTTTATATTTCGAAAATTGTCTTTTCTATTTTATCGATTCTTGAAAAATTGTTGAAATTTTTGAAGAAATGAAGCCGAAATTAACTTCTACAAGTCGAAGTCTTCAAGAAAATGTCTTTCGGTAATTTTGGAAGGGTGTCCGAAAAATTGTAAAAATTCATATTGAAAAATAAAGATTTTCCAAAAGTTGCCTGAAAATCGTCAAAAAAATTACAGCAATTCATTTCGACGAGCTGATTCGACAAGCGTAACATGTTAATGACCCAGTACCAAAATTTTCGAAAAAATCGGTAAAATTCGGTTTGAAAATGAAATTTTTTAACCATCTCCAAAATTGTAAATTGTTATTTTATCGATTCTAGAAAAATGGTTGGAATTTTCGAAGACTCAAACCGAAAATAACTTCTAGAAATCGAAATCTACAAAAAAATATATTTTTTGGTAATTTTTGAAGGGCGCTGGAAAAATGGTCAAAAATATTGAAAGATTAAGATTTCTGAAAAGTTGCCAAAGTCTCAAAAAATCTAAGAAATACATTTCGCCGAGCTGATTCCAAAAAACATAATTTGTTGATGGGCTAGGACTAAGCTTTTCGAAAATATCGGTAAAATTCTGTTTGAAAATGTTTTTTTTTTAATATTTCGAAAATTGTCTTTTCTATTTTATCGATTCTTGAAAAATTGTTGAAATTTTGGAAGAAATGAAGCCGAAATTAACTTCTACAAGTCGAAGTCTTCAAGAAAATGTCTTTCGCTAATATTTAAAGGGTCCTCGGAAAACAGTAAAAGGTTCATATTGAAAAATTGTCTAAAAATCTCCAAAAAAAAAAAAAAATTGAAAAATACATTTCGACGAGCTAATTCGAAAAATATAACGTGTTGATGGTCCAGGACCAAGATTTCGGAAAAAAATCGGTAAAATTCAGTTTGAAAATTAAGTTTTTAAATATACAAGTATCTCGAAAATTGTCACTTCTCATCTCATTTAATCGATTCTGGATTTTTGTTTTGAAATTTTCGAAAAAACGAAGTCGAAAATAACTTTTACGAGTCGAAATCTACAAGAAAATGTTTTAGGTGCTTTTTGAAAGTTGCGCGAAAAATGGTCAAAATTTATGATTTTTGAAAAGTGGTCAAAAATTTTTCAAAAAAATCAGTAAAATTCATTTTAAATTAATTTTTTTAAATATTCGAAAATTGTTTCCCACTTTATCGATGCTGGAAGAATTGTTAGTCGAAACCTACAAGATTTTTTTTTTAATTTTTGAAAGGTCCTCAGAAAAGAGTCAAAAGTTCATATTGAAAAATTGTCTAAAAATCTCCAAAAAAAACTGAAAAATACATTTCGACGAGCTGATTCGAAAAATATAAAGTGTCGATGGTCGAGGATCAATATTTTCGAAAAAAATCGGTAAAATTCGGTTTGAAAATGATTTTGTTTAAATATCTCTAAAATTGTCAATTGTCCTTTTATGGATCCTAGAAAAATTGTTGGAATTTTCGAAGAATGAAACCGAAAATAACTTCTAAAAGTTGAAATCTACATGAAAATATTTTTAGGTATTTCTCTGAAAGGTGCTCGAAAATTAGTGAAAAAAAATGAGAAATTGAGATTTTTGAAAAATTGTCTAAAAACCCTGAAAAAATCTAGAAAATACATTTCGACGAGCTGATTCCAAAAAAAATAACGTGTTGATGGTCCAGGACCAAGATTTCGGAAAAAAATCGGTAAAATTCGGTTTGAAAATTAAGTTTTTAAATATACAAGTATCTCGAAAATTGTCATTTCTCATCTCATTTAATCAATTCTGGATTTTTGTTTTGAAATTTTCGAAAAAACGAAGTCGAAAATAACTTTACTAGTCGAAATCTACAAGAAAATGTTTTAGGTATTTTTTGAAAGTTGCGCGAAAAATGGTCAAAATTCATGATTTTTGAAAAGTGGTCAAAAAATTTTCAAAAAAAAATCAGTAAAATTCGGTTTGAAAATTAATTTTTTTAAATATTCGAAAATTGTTTCCCATTTTATCCATGCTGGAAAAATTGTTGGAATGAAACCGAAATTAACTTATTTCTAGAAGTCGAAACCTACAAGATTTTTTTTTTTAATTTTTGAAGGGTCCTCAGAAAACAGTCAAAAGTTCATATTGAAAAATTGTCTAAAAATCTCCAAAAAAACCCGAAAAATATATTTCGACGAGCTGATTCGAGAAATATAAAGTGTCGATGGTCGAGGGCCAAGATTTTCGAAAAAAATCGGTAAAATTCGGTTTGAAAAATATTTGTTTAAATATCTCTAAAACTGTCAATTGTCCTTTTATGGATCCTAGAAAAATTGTTGGAATTTTCGAAGAATGAAACCGAAAATAACTTCTAAAAGTCGAAATCTACATGAAAATATTTTTAGGTATTTTTCTGAAGGGTACTCGAAAATTAGTGGAAAAAATTAAAAAATTGAGATTTTTGAAAAGTTGTCTAAAAACCCTGAAAAAAAATCTAGAGAATACATTTCGACGAGCTGATTCCAAGAAAAAATAACGTGTTGATGGTCCAGGATCAAAATTTCGGAAAAAAATCGGTAAAATTGTTTGAAAATTATTTTTTTTAAATATTCGAAGATTGTTTCCCATTTTATCGATGCTGGAAAAATTGTTGGAATGAAACCGAAATTAACTTCTTTCTAAAAGTCGAAACCTACAAGATTTTTTTTTTAATTTTTGAAGGGTCCTCAGAAAACAGTCAAAAGTTCATATTGAAAAATTGTCTAAAAATCTCAAAAAAAAAAACTGAAAAATACATTTCGACGAGCTAATTCGAAAAATATAAAGTGTCGATGGTCGAGGGTCAAGATTTTCGAAAAAAATCGGTAAAATTCTGTTTGAAAATTATTTTTTTTAAATATTCGAAAATTGTTTCCCATTTTATCGATGCTGGAAAAATTGTTGGAATGAAACCGAAATTAACTTCTTTCTAGAAGTCGAAACCTACAAGATTTTTTTTTTGAATTTTTGAAGGGTCCTCAGAAAACAGTCAAAAGTTCATATTGAAAAATTGACTAAAAATCTCAAAAAAAAAAACTGAAAAATACATTTCGACGAACTAATTCGAAAAATATAAAGTGTCGATGGTCGAGGGTCAAGATTTTCGAAAAAAATCGGTAAAATTCGCTTTGAAGATGATTTTGTTTAAATATCGCTAAAATTGTCAATTGTCCTTTTATGGATCCTAGAAAAATTGTTGGAATTTTCGAAGAATGAAACCGAAAATAACTTCTAAAAGTCGAAATCTACATGAAAATATTTTTAGGTATTTTTCTGAAGGGTGCTCGAAAATTAGTGAAAATAATTGAAAAATTGAGATTTTTGAAAAGTTGTCTAAAAACCCTGAAAAAATCTAGAAAATACATTTCGACGAGCTGATTCCAAGAAAAAATAACGTGTTGATGGTCCAGGACGAAAATTTCGGAAAAAATGGGTAAAATTCGGTTTGAAAATTAAGTTTTTAAATATACAAGTATCTCGAAAATTGTCATTTCTCATCTTATTTAATCGATTCTGAATTTTTTTTTTGAATTTTTCGAAAAAACGAAGTCGAGAATAACTTTTACGAGTCGAAATCTACAAGAAAATTCTTTTAGGTGTTTTTATGAAAGTTGCGCAAAAAATGGTCAAAATTCATGATTTTTGAAAAGTGGTCAACTAAATGAAAAAAAATCTTACCTGAAATTCAGCGCCAACCTCACATACTCCAACCTATTCTCGAACGTAATCCTCTTATACTTCGTGCTCAGCGGCACGTCGCTCCCACACGACGACGGCGTCGAAAACGGCATCTCCAAATTCTGGAAAAGCGGCTCCTCCGAGCCCATCTCCCGAATGCAGAGCAACCCAGGCACATAATCCCTGTCGATTTCAGTCAAATCGGCCGGAGTCAACTCGATCCCCGCCAACTGCTTCCACACCGGCTCCGCCAGGTTCAAACTAAGCGGCGACCCCGTCCTGATCGCAATCCCCATCAAAACCCCCAAAAACCTAAACATGTTCAAATGCAGACAACTCTTCGCCGTCGGGTTCAGCACGAAGCAATCCCGATTGGGCCCGGCGTCGTCGCGCCCGTTCGGAGTGGGAATGAGAAGAGGGAGCGACCCGTTCTGGAGCTCGTCGCACATCTCGGCGATGCTCTCGCTGTAGCCGCCGCCGCAATCGTCCACGCTCTCACCCACGAACTCCACCTTCCAGACTCTGTGCGGCAGCGCTAGCGTCTCCGACGTCAACAGCGGCAACTTCGCCACCATCTGCCCGAACACCGACTTCATCCCGTCCACCCCCGCCAAGCCCCCTCTCGACCTCGACCTCTTCACCTGTATCCTGTTCAGCTCGATGACCGGCCCGTGGTGCTTGTCACGCACCATCGTCGCCTGCACCACCTTCCTGAACGTCGCTTCCTTGATCGTATAAATCAAAATGCTTCTCAACTCATGGAGGGAATCGGGGCCCGTGATCGGGAACATGGTAATGCACGGGCATATCAGTTCGGCGAAATGGTACAAAAGCACCAGCCGCCTGTGCAGAATCCACGGTGGAATGTCTTGCAGCAGATCGTATTCGAGGGGCGCGACCGACGGCAGGCGCGCGCACGCAGAACTCGCGTTATTGGTGGACCAGGCGAGAGTGTGGGCGGAGCCGCAGGCCACGTTCGTAATTTTTTTACCCTGTAAGGCGGACACCAGTCTCGGTCTTTGTATCGCATTGGTGGTGTCGTCCCCCAACTGGCCTTCGTCGTTGTCGCCCCACGTGAAGACCTCCCCTTCGTCGGAACAGGCCACGCAGTGCAAGGAGCCCGTAGCGATACTGATGATTTTTTTACCCTGTAGAGCGGCCACTTTCTTAGGACGGCGGACGTGCTCGCCGGTACCGTGGCCCAAACGGTGATAGTCACCTTTTCCCCTGGAAAAACGAAGCGAAATTTTGAAAATCGTACTAAGGTACTAGCGACTGCGCCACTTTTGCAGACTCACCACGTGTATACGCTTCCGGATCGCGTCAAAGCGACGGAAAACTGCGACCCGCATTCCACTTTGATCACTCCTAAACCAGCCAAGCTTTCGATTTTCTTCGGGATTTTACAACCATCGGACCCACCTCGACCTACAACACGCGTTTTCGAACCTTCACACTAAAAACAACACCAACCACTAACCCAACTTTCCGTAGTCACCATCGCCCCACGACCAGACGTTATCGTCGTCAGTTATACACAAAGTCTGGGCGTCTCCAGAGCCACAAGCGACATCTATAACTTTATAACCCACTAACTCTTCGACCAACTTCGGTTTAAGTTGATCCTCGCTGTCACCATGACCCAGTCTTCCATATCTACCTTTCCCCCACGTGTATAATTGGCCGTTGGCGGTAATGGCGGCGGAGTGGGCGCCCCCGCACGCTATATCCACGACCTCGAAACCCTGTAGGGCTTCAATCAACTTTGGTGTTTCGCAAGCGCTGCAAAAACTTTGTTACTTAAGTAGGGTGACTTAAGTAGACTTACAGTCGGTTGCCGTGACCGAGCTTGCCGTCGTCCCCTTCGCCCCAGGAGTAGACGTCGCTGTCGGCGGACAGCGCTAAACAGTGTTTGCCGCCCGAGTTCACGGCGATCTTCTTGATAAAGACGTGCTGGATGGACTCTAGTAAAGTCGGGACGAGAACTGAGTCGGTACCACCGATCCCCAGACGCCCACCGGCTCCATACCCTACACAAACCACGATTAACTACTACGTACAGCGAAAACTTGCTGGCGCCTTGTACCTGTCGCGTACACTTTCCCATCCGCGGTCACAGCAAACAGCGTCTGTTCCCCTCCTAGAAGTTGTACCGGTCTCAACGTAGACAACGCCTCACACGGAGTCGGTATTTTGACCTTGGCGCCTTCAATCCCACCCAACTGACCGCGATGGTTGTGCCCCCACCCATAAATGGTCCCCGAACCCCCCCACGACAACGTCCAGTCCTCCGGGCGCCTACAACACACCCAATCTCCAATCGACTGTTTACCCACACTAGCCTGAAACTCAGTACCTGTTTAGCCAAATTAGCAGCTGCTCGTCGTGCTCTTTCTTGAAGACGTCGTGCCTTTCGTGCTCCCACGAGTCGCCCACGCCCGAATCCGACAACTTCTTGCGTACTTCTTGACAGAAGTTGAGGGGCAAGTGGGTGCGATGGATCAAGGCCTTGGCCACTCGCGACGCGTGACAGTACTTCCGGAACCAGGACCACTTGTGGTTGTCGATTAAGCCGACCATCTTGTCGAGTTCGAGGTCGCAGGCGAGGGCGACCAATACCTGTGGTAATCGTAAAGGATAACGCACCCTATAGCGAGAGGATAGAGTCACCTTGAAGAAGTCGGAGTGCATCAGGTGCAGCCCGGCCCGCACGGACACGTCTTCGTACTCGTACTGTCTTAACAAAGCTTGCGGTAGCTCTTCGAGGAGGCTCCCCAGAGCGCTATCGGGCGCTTTTAGTTGCTCTAGCTGTAAACTGACTTCTTCGGCTTTGGCGTCGTCCCCCACTAGGAGTCGGTGTAGTCTCGCTGTAGAGCCCACATTCGTTGACTTGCGGCTGAAACGGCAACGTTGACTCGCGCGTCGTGTGATTCGGGGACTTACATAAGAAGCTGAGTTGCGAACACGCCGCCAACGCCGCCGCCAGTCGACACATGAGAGCCGAATCGGCGGTCGGGTAAAGTCGGGCGTCTAGCAAACACATGACCATGTCCATGGAGGGTTGACTCAAGACGGCGCGGTCCGACCCGATTTCGTTCGGGCTGTGGTTGGACATGACGGGGTAGACGGTGAAGCGCCAACCCCACCCGTTCACCGAACTGTCGCTGGTGAAAGTCCAGCGCAATTCGTCACCTATAATACGAGCGGGAGTGACTATGATTAGCTACAACGAGCGGGAGTGACTATGATTCTTACCGGGAATGCGCAACTCGGCGGACCAATCGCTCCACTCTCGCCCGGATCTAGTGGCCACCACTCGACCAGTCCCGTCGGTTATTTGTAAAGGGTCGTGGCGACGCTCAGTCGAGCATCTTCGGTCGAACTCGACTCGGAGGGCGTCGGCGCCTGGTAGACGGACGTGACCTGAGCAACGACTCATTAAGTACTTAAACACTCAAGTGGGTTGTGGTACCTCTGAGGGTCACGTCGTCGATGTACGGATGGCTGGACTCCTGGACCACCGGATGGGGTGTACTCGACATGGACTGAGTGCTATTCGAGGTGTCTTCCAGTTCAGTAACGCATAGTTCTAGAAGCATGGCCCCGATGGATTTATTCGAGCTACCGAGAGCTACAAAGAGAAAGTCAGAGGGGATCGAGCGACTAGGGGGACGTACTAATGAGGACTGACGATAAAATCTCTTTGGCTTGGTCATCCTCGATTCTGTCCGCCACGGCCAACTTAAGCAAATCGACTAACAATCGGGCGTCGTTTTCAGTCAGGAGGGACGTGAACTCGTCGAGTCCCGCTATGCCACTGTCGCCGATAACCTTGAATTGCGAATTTTGTAGTCGTCTGATACTAGATCAGAAAATAGTGGCGTCCGAAGTGTACTTACCTCCGCGTGGGACGTCAACGTAGCCGCGATCACTGACATCGCACTCGTCGACATCCTCGAGTGTTTCGACGACATGCTCGCCGAGCAACTGCTAGCCGTCATTGATTGGATGAGCGCCAACGGATTTTCTTCGTTTTCTGGCGTCGTTTGGTGACTCTGCATTCCCACGATTTCTGTGATGGAAACCGGCGCTTCGCCCCCTCCTAGCGTAATCTCGCCGTCTTTGTTTAGTAGCGACCCTCCACCGCCTAGAGAGCGCTCGTGTGGCGAGTCTGGAGTCGCACTTTGCTACAACACTCAATTTATCAACCGATCGCCGCTTGACTTACGCTAAACCCACCTTGGCACAGGTGTTTTTCATGTTGGTATGACTGCACAGCGCCCTCACTATCGCCTGTCTCAACTGTTGTATATGCACGGCGTTCAAAATGTGCTGCAACGCTTGCTGTTTGGCGGTGTTGCTCTCCAACGACATCACAATACTGCTCAACGTAGGCGCGTTCTTCGCCGCTTGCTTATTCGTAACTTTTTCACCTTCGTAGAGTTTCAAAATGGACGCCCCTAGTGGGTCCTTAGCAACCGGAAAGATAACCGGCTCGACTTTGTTGACGATCTGCGTGTCCTGCAAAGTCCACGCGATCGAGTGCGAGCTTCCGCAAGCCACTCTGTTGATGTGCACGTCCTCCAACCCATGCACCAGCGCTGGTTTCCGGTTGACGATGGTCGAACCGTTGCCTTGTTGACCGTGGTCGTTGTCCCCCCAAGCGTACACCTGTCCGGTGTCCGTAACCGCCAGACAGTGTAACGCCCCCACAGCGACATGAATCACCTTCTTGTCCTTGAGGGCTTCGATTACCGTAGGCTTGCGGACGTGCTGATCAGAGCCATGACCTAACCGAAAGTAGTCGCCTTTGCCCCAGGTCCAGACCTCGCCGCTCTTCGTCAAAGCCAACGAAAACTGAGCCCCGCACTCAATCTGGACCACGTCCAGCGAGTTCAAGCGCTCGATGTTGTGAGGGACGTTGCACCCTTCAGACCCCCCACGACCCAATTTACCGAAGTCGCCGTCGCCCCACGAAAACACCAACCCTTCGTCGCTGAGAGCCAGAGTTTGAGCGTCCCGGCTGCCGCAAGCCACTTGCACGATGCGATGTCCAGACAACGTTTTGATCTGAAACGTCAGGTTAAATTTTTTCCCGGTTTTTGAGGTAAGCGTTTACCATTTTCGGTTTAAGCTGGGTGATGTTGTCGCCATGCCCCAGCCGCCCGTATTCGCCCAACCCCCACGTGTACAACTCCCCGCTGCTCGTAATGGCCGCCGAATGCGAGCTTCCGCAAGCTATATCTCGGATTTTTTTGCTCCTCAAAGCCTCGATCATCCTCGGCTTGTCTAAATTCAAACGGTTGCCGTGGCCGAGCTTGCCGTCTTCGCCTTCCCCCCACGAGAAGACCTTTCCGTCGAGGGTCAGCGCCATGGCGTGCTTCCCTCCCGAATGAACTGCGACTTTCTTGATCACGTACTGGCTGAGGAAGGGTATGGGGCGTGGGTAGGGCACGTTGTTGTTGTGGCCCAGACCTAACCGACCGTTCGTTCCTTCGCCGCAAGCGTACAGCTGAAACAGTCGAAATAAAGACACCTTCAAACTTACTTAACTCATTACTTTTCCTTCGTGCGACACGATGAATAAAGATTTCGACCCACCGGCGATGTGAATTGGACAAAGTTGACTTAAGAAGTCTGATTGGACGGGTAGTTTGACCTTGGAACCTTTCATGCCTCCTAATTGGTCCTTGTCGTTGAGACCCCAGACGAACACTCGACAACCGACTGTCGGCGACGGCTCGCCGTTGGAGTCTTGCGCTAAAATGGGCGGAGTTAAAATGTGACCAAGGACACGAGTGAAGTGTGGGGTGTGTCAAACTATACAAATATAAAATGACACTAAATGACAGAAATTAACACACACACATACACGCAGTCGTCAAACTTGCTGCTTGATGGTTGCATGCAGATTACACCCCAAATCGTGCAAACACAAATTTTTTGACCTCTTCAAACTCACCCTCTGTACTCTCTTTCAAGCTACTTTTAACAGGCTTTGAGTATCGTTTTTCAACTAAAAGCAATGCGATGACTCTAGTCTCGCTATGCGGAGTGGCGGCACTCACCGATATTCGAGGACGTCGACGGTCCCGGGATTTGTTCCTGATTCAGGTCCCAGTCGTTCGCCAGGAAGGAGATCGACGTCTTCAGCTCGCCGTGGGACTGTCGTTTCATTCCCACGATCGTCATTCCGTGGATTTTGCAATCGATGCCGTTGTTTCGGCACTTGGCGATGTTTACCTCAATGATGGGGTAAAACTGAGGACAATTAACGTAAAATTAGTCGTTTTTTGAAAAGTTAAACAAAATTTTTGCGATTTTTTTTCTGATAACATCTATAACAGTGGGGATAATATGAAATATATTTAAAGCAGATAACCAAGGGAAATAATGCTTGTCGAAAAATCGAAAAACTGAAAAATTGAGAAATCAAACATCTTAAAAATCGAAAAATCGAACAATCGGAACATCAAAAAATCGAAAAGTCTGGAATTTCAAAAACCGAAAAATTGACAAATCTAGAAATTAAAAAATTCTCAAAATTAAAATGTCGAGAAATCGAAAACTTGAAAAATCAACAAATCGAAAAATAGAAAAATCTAAAAAATTAAAAACCGAAAAATTAAAAAACAAAAAATCCCAAAACTGACTGAAATCGACAAACTGAATAATTGAGAAATTGGAAAGTCGAGAAGTCGAAAAAGAAAAATTCAAAAATCCAAATATTCTAAAATACAAAAGTCTAAAAAATTTAACATTAAAAAAATGCAAAAATCCAGAAAATGAACAATTGAAAAATGGAAACATCGAAATCTCGATAAATCTAGAAATAGAAAAAGTGAAAAATTAAAATATCGAAAAACTAAAAAACCTAGAAAATTAAAACCGAAAAATTGAAAACTCTAAAATTTAAAAAATCCAAAAACTGAACATCAGGATAATAAAAATATTTAAATTTTTCTATTTATCAAGTTTTTGATTTGTCAATTTTTCAACATTTCAATTTTGAGGATTTTTTAATTTCTGGACGTTTCAATATTCCGATTTATCTAAAAAATTAAAAATATTGAAAATCCTGAAATTGAAATATTCCCAGAACAGAAATTCTGAAAAATTGGGAAATCTAAAACTTAAAAAATCGAAAAATTTAAAAGCTCCAAAAACTGAAAATCCAAATGTCGGAAAATCCAACAACCGAAAAACTGAACATCAGAATAACGATAAATCGGAAAATTGAAAAATCCAGAAATTAAAAAATTGGGAAATGGAAACATCAAAAAATTGTTTAATCCAAAGTTTGGAAAATTGAAAAATCCAGAAATTAAAAAATTCTCAAAACTGAAATGTTTAAAAATTGGGAAATCGAAAAGTTGATAAACGAAAAATTGACATATTAAAAAACTAAAAAATTGTGAAAACGAAACATCAAAAAGCTGTACAATAAAAAAATTAAAACTCCAAAAATTTTTAAAATTAGAAAATTGAAAAACCGAAAAATTAAAAAGAAAGAAATCGAAAAATCGGAAAATCCATAATAAAAAAAAAATTGAAAAAAACAAAACATCCCAAAACTGACTTGTCGTGAAAGTAGGAAACCGAAAAACTGAATAATCGAAACATCGAGAAATTAAAAAGTCGAAAAACTAAAAAATTTTAAAAATTGAAAAACTGAAAAATCCAAATACCGAGAAATGTAACAATCGAAAAACTGAAAAATTGGAAAATCGAAGCTCTAAAAATACAAAAATCCTGAAATTGAAATATTCCCAGAATTGAAATTTTGAAAAATTGGGAAATCGAAAATTTAAAATCTCGAGAAATCAAAAAAACGAAAAATTTAAAAGCTCAACAAACTGAAAACTCCAAATTTCGAGAAATCCAACAACCGAAAAACTGAACATCAAAATAACGATAAATCGAAAAATTGAAGAATCCAGAAATTAAAAAATTCTCAAAATTGAAATGTTCAAAATATTAAAAAATTAAAAAATTGAGAAATGGAAAGATCAAAAAATCGTTTAATCCAAAATTTGGAAAATTGAAAAATCCAGAAATTAAAAAATTCTCAAAATTGAAATGTTGAAAAATTGGGAAATCGAAAAGTTGATACGAAAAACTGAAACATTAAAAAACTAAAAAATTGTGAAATCGAAACATCAAAAGCTGTACAATCAAAAAATTTAAAACTCCAAAAATTTTAAAAAGTAGAAAATAGAAAAACCGAAAAATTAAAAAAAAAGAAATCGAAAAATCGCAAAATCCATAATAAAAAAAATAGAAAAAACAAAAAATCCCAAAATTGACTTGTCGATAAAGTAAGAAACCGAAAAACTGATTAATTGAAACATCGAAAAATCGAAAAGTCAAGAAGTCGAGAAATCGAAAAGTCAAGAAATTTTAAAAATCAAAAATTCTAAAAATCGAAATTTTAAAAAATCGAAAAACTGAACATTAGGACAATAAAAATATTTCAATTTTTCCATTTATCAAGTTTTTGATTTCTTAATTTTTCAACATTTCAATTTTGACGATTTTTTAATTTCTGGACGTTTCAATTTTTCGATTTATCTAAAAAATTAAAAAAAAAAATTGAAAAACTGAAAAATCCAAATGTCGAGAAATCCAACAATTGAAAACTGAACATCGGATTATCGGTAAATTGAAAAATTAAAAAATCGAAGCTCTAAAAATTCAAAAATCTTGAAATTGAAATATTCCCAGAACTGAAATTTTGAAAACTCGAGAAATCGAAAACCTAAAAAATCGAGAAATCAAAAAATCGAAAAATTTAAAAGCTCGAAAAACTGAATATCTATCAGAATAACGATAAATCGGAACATTGAAAAATCCAGAAATTAAAAAATTCTCAAAATTCAAATGTTCAAAATATAAAAAAATATTAAAAAATTAAAAAATTGAAAACTCCAGAAACTAAAAAATTCTCAAAATTGGGAAATCGAAAAGTTGATAAATCGAAAAATTGAAATATTAAAAAACTAAAAAATTGTGAAATCGAAACATCAAAAAGCTGTACAATCAAAAAATTTAAAACTCTAAAAATTTTAAAAATTAGGAATTTGAAAAACCGAAAAAGTAAAAAAAAGGCAATCGAAAAATCGGAAAATCCATGATAAAAAAATAGAAAAAAACAAGAAATCCCAAAATTGACTTGTCGAGAAAGTAGGAAACCGAAAAACTGAATAATCGAAATATCGAGAAATTAAAAAATTTAAAAACTAGTATAAAAAATTTTAAAAATTGATAAACTGAAAAAACCAACAATCAAAAAAATGAACATCGGAATATCGGTAAATCGAAAAATTGAAAAAAGCTCCAAAAATACATAAATCTTGAAATTGAAATTTTCAAAATTTTTTTTCAATTGCAAATGTTCAGTTTTTCGATTGCTGGATTTCCCGGTATTTGGATTTTTCAGTTATTCAATTTTAAAATTTTTTTAGTTTTTCGATTTTTCATTTTTTTTACTTCTGGATTTATCGAGATTTTTTTCGATGTTTCGATTTTTTTAATTTAAAATTGTTTAGATTTTTCCATTTTATGCCATTTTGATTTCTCAATTTTTCATTTTTTCGACTTTTCGATTCTTAGGTTTTGGGATTTTTTGTTTTTTTTTTGTTTTTTTTTTTTTTTAATATGGATTATGCGATTTTTCGATTTTTTTCGGTTTTTCAATTTTCTAATTTTTAAAATTTTTGGAGTTTCAAATTTTTTGATTGTACAGCGTTTTTGATGTTTCGATTTCCCAACTTTTTAATTTTTTAATATTTAAATTTTTCAATTTTTCGATTTATCAAGTTTTCGATTTCACAATTATTCAACATTTCAATTTTGAAAATTTTTGAATTCATGGATTTTTCAATTTTTCGATTTATCGTTATTCTGATGTTCAGTTTTTCGATTTTTTAAGTTTTCGATTTCCCAATTTTTCAAAATTGGCGTTCTGGAAACATTTCAATTTCAGGATTTTTGAAGTTTTATTTTGGGTTTTTTTGTTTTTTCAAAATCGAAAAGGCGAGATGCCAAGAAATCGAAAAATTAAAAAATCTTTTAATCCAAAATTTGGAAAATTGAAAAATTTTAAAAGTCAAAAAATTGAAAAATCGAAAAATCTAAAATTTAAAAAATCGAAAAACTGAAAAATCCGAATGTCGAGAAAAAGAAAAACTGAACATCAGGATAACAATAAATCGAAAAATTGAAATATTAAAAAATTTAAAAATTGGGAAATGGAAACATCGAAGCGCTGTACAATAAAAAAATTTTAAAATTAGAAAATTGAAAAATCGAAAAAATAGAAAAAAAGAAATCGAAAAATCGCAAAATCCATAATTAAATAAAAATATATAAAAAACGGAAAATCCCGAGAAAGTAGGAAACCGAAAAACTGAATAATTGAAACATCGAGAAATTGAAAAATCGAAAATCCGAGAAACCTAAAAATTGCGTAATTCAAAATTTGGAAAATTGAAATAATTTTAAAAATGAAAAAATTGAAAAATCGAAAGCCGAAAATAAAAAAAAATCGAAAAATCCAAAATTTAGAAACGACAAAAATTGAAAACTGAAAAATTGGAAAATTGAAAAATCGTTAAACTGAAATTTCGGAAAATCGAGATATTAAAAACTAAAAAAAATCGAGATTTTTTTTTAAACAGTTCATTTACCCACACCTGCTCGAAACCGACGCCTCACCTTGTCCAAATTCGTCAACAGAACCACCGACGTGTCGTGGCTCTTCACGTTAATGACGTTCAGCTCCGTCAAGGAGTTGAGCGTGGAGCCCCCGTTGATGACGATCACCGACGGCATGTAGCTGTTGTCGGCCGGATCCACCCCGATCTTCAAACTCTTGACGACGACGTCCGGGAAGATCTCCAGCCGGATCCAGTGCTTGCCCTGGCTGCCGCAGCTCTGCCAAATCGAGCCGGGGATCTCGAACCTGGCGGCGTACTTCGACGAGACCGTGACGTTGCGCACGCACTTGCCCCAGTCGGAGATGAGCTCGCCCTCGCCCTCGAAGGCGTCGTGGCGGCAGTACTTGCCGGCCTTGCCGGCGTGCACCTCGGCGCCCCCCGGCTCGTTGATCCGGTTGAACGAGTGCTTGTGGTTGCGCTTGGTGTAGAAGCAGTTCTCGCAGAAGTCGAAGTTGTCGCAGACCTTGCACTTGAAGCGCGGCCCGGAGATGGGCGCCACGCAGCAGCCGTTGCAGGCGACGCCCTCGTGGCAGGAGGGCACCACCTCGATCTCGGAGACGAGGCCCAACCAGTTCTGCTGCTTGGGGAAGTCGACTTGGACATTTTGTCCGTTCGGAGAAATGCCTACGATGTCGTTATTATCCCTATTAAACGAAACGCGATTTCGTCTTACCAGCAACTACTCCGACGCTGTCGTGGGTCACGTGACCCCACTTGTACCTCGGGGTGGAGACGGTCGATTTCACTCGGACTTTGTCGCCGATTTTTAAGGTGGACGGGGTGGGGGCCGAGGGTGGAAAGCCCAGTAGTTCCACGTGGATGAATCTGACCCAGTAGGTGTTGACGCGTTGTTGCCAGTTGACCTAAGTATCACCGTCAGTCCATGGAAGTCTAAATTTTCATACAACCTGTAGGTTTAAGTCATGTAGACCTTCCCTATCAACTTTGACCACTTTTCCGATGTCACCCAGGTGGACTTCTTCGTAGCTTTTGCAGCATCGGACCAACATTCCCACCTCGACGTTGTCTCGGACGTACATTGCGTACTCGTCGTTTGAAAGGAACTGGGAGCGGCGGCAGTAGGTTTGTGTCGAGGAGAAATCATCGCCCTATATATACAAAAAAAAAGTAAATTCTATCAAGCAGTCCGATACTAGGTCGGAAAATAGTGGCGCTCTCTATCCACTTGTTAAATTATTTAGTGTATATATAACCTTGAAACTGACTAGACCAGAATTACTTATCATAATCTTTAATTAAAAAAATTATTATTATTATCAAGTTTATTAATAATAATAATACATTCTTAAAACACACTTATCGATGACGTCATCTAAACATTAATTATATTTTAAATAAAATTTTTATTGATCCAGCTCTCATTACTTTTGATACGTCATATTTAAATTTGCCGCCATTCAAAAATCTCAGACGTCAACCTTCGCAACAGGGTGTATATAAACATAACCTCAATTCGCGAACTTATATTCTCGATAGATGTTTTAGTTTCTAGCGCCGTAGTGTGTCGTTTTGAGTTGAAAAGCGCAAGGGGTGTTGTTCGGAATGGGGTGGACTTGCTGCGTTATTGGTTGCAAGATGACGTCACGAACTAAGGGGTTGTCGTTTTTTTCGTTCCCCAAGAGTCACGAAAAAGAGTGGCTCGAGATACTCAAGATGGAAAATGGGACAAACACGACATACTTAAGGGTGACTATGGGTGGGTTTTAGTACCAAGTTGACTGTTTTTTGTAGATTTGTTCCCTACATTTTCCGGAGTGTGAAATGTACATGGCTGGAAGTATAAGAAGGCTGCGGAAGTATGCGAAACCGTCGATCTTCAATTCGTGTGAAGAGATTGTTTTTTGTGAAAAAGAAGAAATGAAGGAGGAGGATATAAATGAAATATATGTAAGTGTAAATACATGTATTTGATAAAATTTAAAAGTGGGTTTTCAGTTACCTGAAATGACCACTGATGACGATAATTTTGAATTGGAAGAAATAGCAGCTACAGAGATAGTGGAAGAAATTAACCCCGAAGTACGAAAATATCTTTAGGTTATTATAAATTACCCATTCTGTTTTTTTCAGTTAAGTTATGACGCGCTTTTACTAGAAAATCAACAACTGAAGAAAGATTTAGAACTAATGAAGAAGATAAACCAGGCGCTCATAAATAATTGGCACGAATGCAATGTTAGTTCAAAAAAATATCCTCAAGTGTAGATTAATTTGTAATTTTTTTTAATTTTCAGGTTAAATACAATTCTGTCCTGCTAGAGAATGAACAACTAAAGAGCGAGCTAGAAGTACAGAAAGACAAGGGTCATGGGTTAAGGTTGTTGTTGTAAAGTCAAAATTATTTATTTTATGTTTAGGATAATTAAATCTAAAAAAATGAGTTCAGTTCAAATTTTCTACTCCTCATCCTAATGAAGTGTGCCGCTTACAGAATTTGCACTTTAATTCTTTCAATTTTTATTTTTTGGTTTGGGTAATTTTACAATTTTTCGATTCCACAATTTTTCATTTCCTCTAATTTTCGTGTTGCAATTTCTCGTGTCGGTTTTTTATTTTCTTTAATTTTACAAGTTTTCGACTTTTCTTTCACCGATGTCAAATTTTTCAATTTTTCGTTTCAATTTTCCGATTTTCATTTTTCAATTTTTCATTTTTTTTGGTTTCGTCAATTTTACGGCATTCAACTCTTCGAATTTTCAATTTTTAATTTTTCAATTTGCGATTTCTGAATTATTCATTTTTTCAATTTTTCGAATCCCCACTTTTCGATTTCGGTTTTCATTTTTTCGTTTAGGTATTTTATTTTCTTTATTTGTTTCAATTTCTTGATTTTTTTACAATTACATATTCTTTTTTTCGATGTGAACATTTTCAATTTTTAGAATAGCAATTTTTTGGTTTTATTTTTTTTTTAATTTTCGTAGTTTCGGATTTTTTAGGTTTTCGATTCTCGATTTTTCAATTTTTCGTTGCTCCAATTTTTTGGTTTAGGTATTTTATTTTCTGTATTTGTTACAATTTTTCGACTTGCCAATGTTCTGATTTATAATTTTTTTTTTTCAATGTGAAACTTTTCAATTTTTGATTTGTCAATATTTTGATTTGCAATTTCTCAGTTTTCCTTTTTTCTACTTTCGGATTTTTTAAAAACTATTTGAAACTGAAAAAACGAAAAACTAAAAAATCCGAAAGTAGGAAAATTATAAATTAGAACACTGAAAAGTTGAAAAATTGAAGCAAATAAAGAAAATAAATAAAATACCGAAACGAAAAAATAAAAATCGAAAAAATTTAAGTGAAATACTTGAAAATTAAAAAGTGAAAAGCGGAAATTGAAAAAGCAAAAAATTATAAAATCGGAACACTGAAAAATCGAAAAATTGTAAAAATAAATAAAATAAAAAACCAAAACGAAAATTAGAGGAAATGAAAAATTGTAGAATCGAAAAATTGAAAAATTAAAAAGTCGAATAAATAAAGTTAAAAAAAAAAATTCTAAAATTGTAAAATTGAAAAAGTGAATTTTTTTTAAGATCATTACAATTTCAAATGAAAACTAGAAAAGTTGCAAATCAAAAATTGAAAAAGCGAAAAATGAAAAAATTCGAAAGTGGGAAAATAAAAAAAATGAAAACAGAAAAATTGCAAATCGAAATATTAACAAATCAAAAATTGAAAATTTCACATTTAAAAAAAGGAAAAGTATGAATCAGAACATTGAAAAGTCGAAAAATTGAATCAAATAAATAATTGAAAAATGAAAAAATTCTAAAATCGAAAAAGTGATTTTTTTTAAGATTATTACATATGTATTTTAAATGAAACTAAAAAAATTGCAAATCAAAAATTGAAAAAACGAAAAATTAAAAAATCCAAAAGCAGAAAAATAAAAAAAAAGAAAATAATGAATCATCATACTGAAAATCGAAAAATTGTAAAAATAACTAAAGAAAATAAAAAACCGAAACGAGAAATTGCGAAACGAAAATTATTAGAGGAAACGAAAAATTGTAGAATCGAAAAATTGAAAAATTAAAAACCGAAAAATTGAAAAGTCGAATAAAAAATCCCATAATTGAAAAATGAAAAAGTTCTAAAATTGAAAAAGTGATTTTTGAAAGATTATAACATATTTCAAATGAAACCTATAAAAATTTCAAATCAAAAATTGAACAAATGAAAAATTAAAAAATCTCAAACTGAAAAAACGAAAAATTAAAAAATCCGAAAGTAGAAAAATAAAAAAAAAGGAAAACCGAAAAATTGCAAATCAAAATATTGACAAATCAAAAAATTGAAAAATTTCACATCGAAAAAAAGAAAAATTATAAATTACAACATTGACAAGTCGAAAAATTTAAACAAATACAGAAAATAAAATACCTAAACGAAAAAATTGAAGCAATGAAAAATTGAAAAATCTAGAATCGAAAAAACGAAAAACTAAAAAATCCGAAACTAGGAAAATTAAAAAAAATTGGTCTAAAGAGTTTAGACAGTACTTCCCTCGCTGTCGGAAACTTGACGACTGCATGCCTATTGTGTTTTTTTTCTCATTACATTTTTGTAGTGGGAATTTAAAAAAAAATTGCGATGACGTCATCAACATTTTTGCAAGGACACGTATATCAGTTGGGATAGATGTAGTGTAATACTAAGAATAAAATTATTATATTCTCAAATTTTCGGGAAAATGAATTGGGTCGTTTGAATATTGATTTGTAATAATTAATAAAATAACGAAACAATTTACTCACGTATACCTACGTATCAGAGGCAACTGAAAATCGTGTATGTATAAACATTGTTAATTTAAGATGACAGGCGTAACAGCATACGTGAGAGCCAAACACAGAAACTGTAAACAAAACGACCGTCGGTTTTATTGCTTCGACTTCCGCTTATTATATAAAACATTGGGTTTTATTTTAATTCTTGACGGTGAAATTCACAATTGGTTGATTATAAACATGTCTATTTCACATTCGCGGAATCAAGTGAACGCATAAAACAAATGCAGGTCTGTAATGTTAAAGTCGATGTAAATAAGCGTGCTACCCTTATGTTTCAACCGAGTTTTTCCTTTAACAAATTTTGTGTCTACGAAATTGGGTTGGTTGGGGTGTAATACTAATAATAAGTGTTGCCTTTAATTTAATCAATAAAATGAATTGACTTCATTAATTCTTTTGAACCACCTCTTAAGAAAATCTAAAAAATATGAATGGAATGATAAATCACAAGTACAAACTCATCATATTTTTTGCATTTTAGATAGGATTTATTCAGCAAAATTTAAGGGTGACGTCATCAATTTTTTTAGGAGGGATGAACAAATACATTTTGAACAAAAGTTTACCATGCTTATAATAACTTTAAAATATTCCCAAGATTTCAAAGCATTCGGTTTTGTAATTCCTGATTAAATCGATAAAATAAATTCACGCCTTCATTAATTTTTTTGAGTCACCCTGCATATGCAAATCCAAAAATATGAATGGAATGATAAATCACAAGTACAGACTCATCATATTTTGTACATTTTAGATACGATTTATTCGGAAAACTTTTGAGCTGACGTCATCAGTTTTTTGTAGAAGATAACCAAATATATTTTGACTAAAAATTTATTATGCTCTTTATAACCTTAAAACATCTGCAAGATTTCAAAGCATTCGGTTTTGTAGTTCCTGATTAAATCAATAAAATAAATTTACGCATTCATTAATTTTTTTGAGTCACTCTGTATATGCAAATCCAAAAAATATGAATGGAGTGATAAATGACAAGTACAGGCTCATCATATTTTGTACATTTTAGATATGATTTATTCGGCAAACTTTCGAGCTGACGTCATCAAGTTTTTGGAGGGGATAAGCAAATATATTTTGACTAAACATTTATTATGCTCTTTATGACCTTAAAACATCTGCAAGATTTCAGAGCATTCGGTTTTGTAGTTCCTGATTAAATCAATAAAATATATTTACGCATTCATTAATTTTTTTGAGTCACCCTGTATATGCAAATCCAAAAAATATTAATGGAGTGATAGTTCACAAGTACAGACTCATCATATTTTGTACATTTTAGATATGATTTATTCCACAAACTTTTGAGCTGACGTCATCAAGTTTTTGGAGGGGATAAGCAAATATTTTTTGACTAAAGATTTATGATGCTCTTTATAGCCTTAAAACATCTGCAACATTTCAAAGCATTCTGGTTAGCAGATTAAAAATTAAATTTCAAAATGTTGTTTTATAATTTTGATTTTTTTTCAAAAATCTGGACGTTTCGGGTGAAAAGTCGATTCAGAGTTGTAAACTACATGTGTAGGACTATGTTATTTTATACAATTGAAAACCCATTTACTATGTACAATTTTGAAGTGACGTCATCGCTTTAGTGGTGGGGATGATTCGACAAATTTTGGTTAGCGTTTTACCATCTACATGATATTCTTAATATAAGTACAAAATTTCACAACAATCGGTCGAGTACTTTCGGAGATTATCTGTCTAATAAAAATCCGGGACAACAGACGGACAGACGGACAGACGGACGGACAGACGGACAGACGGACGGACAGACGGACAGACGGACAGACGGACGGACAGACGGACAGACGGACGGACAGACGGACAGACAGACGGAAATGGGAGACCTATTTCTTCGTCTTCTAGGGGTCATGAAAGATCGAGAAAACGTAAAAGTAGAGAGTCGGCCGACGGACTCGATTACAATACTTCCTTTGCTTACGCTCGGGAAGTAAAAATAAAACCGAAAAATTGCAAATCTAAAAATTGAAAATGTTCACATCGAAAAAAAAGAATAATTGTAAATCAGAACATTGAAAAATCGAGAAATTGAAACAAATAAAGAAGATAAAACTAGAAAAATTGCAAATCAAAAATTGAAGAAAAGAAAAATTGAATTTTCGTTTCGGTATTTTATTTATTTTCTTTATTTCATTCAATTTTTCGACTTTTCAATGTTCTAATTTATTTTTCTTTTTTTCGATGTGAAATTTTTTAATTTTTCATTTCTTCAATTTTTCTAGTTTTAATTTGAAATATGTAATAATCTTGAAAAAATTTCACTTTTTCAATTTTACAATTTTAGAATTTTTTCATTTTTCAATTATGGGATTTTAAAACCATTTCTTTATTTGTTTCAATTTTTCGACTTTTCAATGTTCTGATTTATAATTTTTCTTTTTTTCGATGCGAAAATCTTCAATTTTTAGATTTGCAATTTTCGGTTAAATTTTCCTACTTTCGGAATTTTTTAGTTTTCCGTTTTTTCAATTTTAGATTTTTCAGTTTCTCGATTTTTCATTTCTTCAATTTTTGATTTGCAGTTTTTCTAGTTTTCATT